CCCCCCCCCCCCCCCCCCCCTCTCCCCCTTTTCCGTTCCACCAAACCCTCTGACCAACTCGTCCCCTCAGGGATAAGCGCCGCTCTAACCTTCTCAGCACTCGACCCCCTCCTCTCCGGGCTTGCAGACCGGACCGCGCAAGCAGTGACCCGACCAGCAGCCGCACATTTTCCTACCGGTCAAGCACAAGCACAGGCACAAGCACAGGCACAAGCACAGGCACAAGCACAGGCACAGGCGCAGGCGCAGGTGCAGGCGGGGTCAGGGCAAAGGGGCGGGACGGGGAGGGGGATGACATTCGAGGAAGAGGTCGAGCATTTCGTTAAGCCTGATATGGTTGGGTGGAGGTTTTGAAGTCCCGAACTGGGGAAGGCTGTACAGTATCGGTACCAGTATCAGTATCAGTATCAGTACTGCTCTGTTTGTACTTGCGTCAAGCGTTGTTGTACTTTCTTTCGTCTTCTTACTACTGCACCTCTACCTGACATACATGTAGTTCCTCATCCCGTTCCAGTGCAGTCACACCACATGCACAACATGCACATCTATATACGCCCTCCCTACAGAGAGCGAATTATCAACATTTGATTCTCGACGTATTTGTACCTATACCTATGCTGAGGCGATGAGGCAAGAGAGAGTGCAAAAACAGGGAACAGAGAGACGACACAGGAGACAGGATAGAGAGATTGAGGGATAGTACGAAGGGACGGACGTGGGTTGATGGAAGGGGATGGGGGGGAGATGGGGGAGCATAAGCTGAGGTTTTAGGGTGAGAAGACGGGTGCGGGCTTGGGTCGCGCACGACTGGGGTATTGGGTATGCGTGTCTGGCTCGGGGCTGACGTGGACGTTGGGAACAGGCGAGGGAGTGCTCGCGGGAAGGGGACGTGAGGATAGATGGGTGGATGAATGGAGGGAGGGTCGGACGATGGGAGATTTTGCATTAGAGGGCATGAGGCCGAGAGGAAATGTGGGAGGGAGGGGATGGGAGACGCGTGTGGATTGCTGTAAGCAATTAGTTGACTTTGTCCAGCACGCTTGGGTCCTTGCCGTTCGCGAGTGCGTCCAGGACGTGACCGTTCGCGCTGCCGTTGATCCGTTCCCTGAGGGTCTTGTGCTGGCCCTTTGCCTTCTTGGCACCCTTCTTGGTGTACGTGTTACTGGGCATATACGATCAGACCGCATCAGAAGAAAAGGTGGAAAGACGTACATGTAAAACGAAATGAAGAGGAAGAGGTAGCTCGTCAGAAGACCACAGCCGAAGAGTGCCGCGCCCTCCGTGCCTGCACAGGTTCCTAAGGATGGCGCGTCCCAGCGAGTCGCGGCAAAGTAGGAATATGCTATTTCCCCAGTTAAAGCGCGATAGAAAGCGGAGAAGCTAGGTATGTGCGCACTGGCAAAATAGACAACGAATAGATCGATAACGAATTGTACGATCTGGAAGGTTGTGAGGTACTTCTTCCACCAGATCTTGGCGCCGCCTGCAGTGGCATAGTAGTAGTAGTACATGAGCACGTGGACGGCGAGGTTGATGCTGATGACGACCCAGGAGACGGAGGTCCTGCCCTCGAGCTGGGTGAAGCAGAGGAGCGCGGTCGCGGCATGGTGGAACACGTGGAGGAACGCGAGGGGCTTCTTCTTAAGGACCAGGAAGACGGTGTCGATCAGCTCGACGTACTTGATGTAGTAGTTCACGATGTAGTAGAACTCCATACGGGGTGTCCATGCTGTCGTATTGCAGATCGCGCTGAAGAAGCCGTGCTTGTACCAGTGAGGAAGGATCTCCTCCAACATAAGTACGAGTACGAGAGCAGAGACGGTGACGAGGAAAAGGTTATGAATCTGCGCGTATTGTTAGCATATATGCGCGTCGTTTTGGCCGGGGCATGAAGCCCACCTGGAAGAGACCGTTCAGCTTGAGAGGCTTGTACGGCTTCATGATCTCGCGAATGCCGAAGATGACACCGAGGTAACCCACGAGCCAGCCTGTGACGACGGGCCAAGTGGAGATGGGGGACTCGCCGTGTACCCATTGTTTGAGGTAGATGGGGACTGGGGGTAGGATGTCGAGAGCGAGGATGATGTCTGCGAGGTTTGGGACCTCCATTGTACGACGAGTGGGGGGGGGGGGTGTCGACGTCGGTGGTGGGAGGGAGGGAAGGGACGAAGGACGGACGGTTAAGGAGCGTGACGGTGGAAACAGGGGGCGGGGACAGAGGAATATCAAAAGCAGGGGAGAGGCGCGAAAAAAAAGAGACCGGGATCTCGGAAGACGAGGAAGGGGGGGAAAGAGGGAAAGCGAAGAAGCGCGTTCAACCGTGATGGGATAAGAGTGGCGATGCACACGGCGGGGTCTCAACAGAAAATCTAGCCATGTGTGCCTTCAGTCCATGCGCACGTTGCCTCCGTTCATATTCGCTCGACTCCCTTACTAGACCTTTGTACGTACAAACACCGTGGGACGCGTCGAGGGAAAAGACAATAAAGACGCTTAACATTTCAGGGCGTAGGGTGATATCGAACAACATCATCCACAACCGTACCACTTATTCCTCGCATCTGGTATTCGCGCGTCCCATTACCCACTAGCCACATCAGATAGAACAACCAAGACCGCGACAGAGCTCAAGGCGCCGTTCCTGCCTCTTTCGTCAGCTCATCCACGAGATAGACCATCCTTCCTCACCCTTGTTCCCACACGCCGTGCTAGGCCAGTTACCCGTCGTTTGCCCACTAATACAAGCGCCCGTCCATAGCGGGTTCCCGTCTGTTCCGCTCCACTGCGAGCAAGACACTTCGGTGTATGTGCCCGTGAGCGCCCCATGGCCTGAAGGGAAGAACGCCATGCTCGCGCCCGTATCCTGGCAAAGATCAAAGCTACCTCGTGTCACTCCAAACCCTCGCTTCAGGAAATCAGATGAACGTACTGCACCGGAGCACCGTACTGGTTCTCAGGGTTCGCCTGGGTCTGACCACACCACACCTGGTTCTCAGGCGCAGGACACAGATCCGTAAGTTTAACAACGACAGTCTTGAACGGTCCTGTATAGCTCGGACTGTAGGGGTCCGCCGTGCCCGTGAGGGAGAAACACCGGCCGCAGGCGTCACCAGCCCCTGCCCCGCTCGCGGCGCCAAACGAGAGCTGGGACATGGCTGCTGTGTACCCAGAGGCGGTGACCCCGCAGGCGGGGGAGGAGCAGCCGCTGTAGTAGGTGAAGGAGGCGCTGCCGCTGGGGTTCTGCAGGTATCCACCGGTGGCACGTTCTACCGGGGTGCTGGACACCGACAGACTGAGAGTGAGGAGCGCGAAGAGGGAGTACTTCATCTTGCGTCGGTTCCTGGTGGACGAGGAGCAATGTACACTGGAGAGCAGAATACTTATACCCAACAAGCACTATGCCAAGGGATTCGCAGGTTCTTCACGGCATGCCGAGAGCCTCTTAACGGTCCTGGAGAAGCCCGACAATCAGCCGTTACGTTCTGGCGGAGATGGGAGACCCTGACCTGCGAGTTTCCTGGTTGAGTTTTACGACAGTGAGGCAGAGCGGGTTGTGGAAAGCTGGAGGGTAAAGTTGTGCGTAGGCTGCCGTGTTGAGCAAGAAGCGGTAAACTTGCGGAGCGAGATGGACGTCTTCGACCCGGGGATGAGCCTCCATCACCGACCAGCACAAGTCGACGAACAGAACTCCTCGGCTTTCCTGCATGCACATAGTCGAAAGCATGGTGCCCCTGTTTCTGAACTTCTCGCATCGCCAGGTAAGTACCTCCCACATGAGCAGCTCTACAGAGAGCCAGCAGCGGCAGAGGCGTGTGACCCAGTAGATGCGGAAATCCTGGCGATGTATCAATCACATGCGCTGGGTTAGTTGTGCGTGCCGAAGACATAGGAGTGTCGACAGAAATAATTCAGCTTTCTTGCGTGTGATGAGGAAAAGAGGGTATTCCTGTAAGGACTGTTTCAATGCAATACTACTGAGTCCGCTTGTGGACTTAGTAGATATATCTCGGGGGAACGGAAAAAAAAACAAAGGGCGTAATCGGGTGGTTCTGAACAAATGTTTGTGACATTCGGTGGGTATAATGCCCGCGCTATTTATTCGGAGTCAGGCTCTGCTGTTGTCGACAAGACGTCTTTTACCTGCTGGAGGATATCGACTGGTGTCTGGCACATGATGTCAGCAAGGTTGGGGGTAGGATCGGATCGTTGGTGGTAGGGTGAACATGGAACTGCGCAATGCAGGCTGTGAGAATGGCCCGTGCTTTGAAGAAGGGGTACGTTAATTAGCTTGGCGAGAATCTTGCAGTCATCTGGAATGCAATAAGAAAAGCTTCAGATCCTGGGTCCGGAGACGACGACGACGATGATGATGATGCTTGAGTAGTTGAAGTTTTATTCTGGAAGAGTTTGTTGGGTGTTGTAGGATTCCAGAGGATTCTCTTGAACGATTCGAGAAGCTGGAGCGATCCAGGATCACAATTCAAGGCAGATGCTCTTCCGCATATACAGGGGGTTCATCTATGTCTCCTTCGTCACCATTCCATGGTAGAAGAGTAACCCGCAGAAGTTCTTGGTTCACAACGCCCCGCGGAGTGGTTTCGACGAAAGCGGTCGCCAGTATGATGACGATCGAGATTGACCGTAGGCAAGATTATGGTCCAGCTCCCCAAGAGTCAGAAATGTTCTCAATCGATGGATCATAGAATTATCGAAGTGTACCAGCGGACGTGAAGAACAGTGTGTGGTCGTTGATGAACACGTTGCATCGGGCAGCCCGAAGAAGGTAACGGAAGCAGTTCCCCATGTGAGAACTGAATTGTGGGCCTCCCTCCGCTGAACCCTGCCTAACACATCTCCTACCACCATCCGTCCATCTCCCCCCCTCCTACCCTCCGTCGCGCACCATGACGACAATAACAGCACATCCACCCGGCCCGCTAATAGCGAGCGAATCTCAGGTCAACTTGCTTACTGTCGAAGAGAGCTTGCGAGATGCAGAACTCGAGGAAGTGCTGGATGATCTGTCCAGGTATGCCCAGCTCCAGCCATCACAGCGGATCGGGCTGACCGCTCCGTTATCCGGATACAGTCGGTTCATCTTGAACATGCCCGAACCGGAGCTCTCGTCCACTGAGCGCATATCTTTCCAAATCGAGCAAGCGTATGTGCTGTAAACGGCCGTTGCTCCCCGACTGAACTCCTCCAGCCATTGGTACTATGAAGACTTTGTTCGACCATTAAACCCAGCATTCCCATCCATGTCGTTGAAGCGGTTCTCGGCGATGTTCTTCAACGCATGTCCGCTGCTGAACGACTTCAGCCATGAGCAGGCGTTTCAAGATTTCCAAAAGTACAAGAGTCGCGTGCCGGTGTGCGGAGCTGTGCTCCTAACCCCGAAGATGGACAAGGTATGACCCTACGATGCGTGGAATACGACAACCACTTACCCGCTATCACAGTGTGTACTCGTCAAGGGATGGAAGTCTACATCAGCTTGGTCCTTTCCGAAAGGCAAGATCAACCAGGACGAGTCGCGCGCTGCATGTGCCATCCGAGAAGTCCGGGAAGAAACGGGATTCGACTTTGCTGCTGCCGGTCTTCTGGATAAGAATGCAAAGACGACAATAGAGATCAACGAGCAGAGCCTAACCCTGTACTTTGTCGTTGGTGTATCTGAGAACACCGCGTTCGAGACCCAAACGCGCAAGGAGATCAGCGTGAGTATGTTGGCTGGTAGCACCCAACATAAGCTGAGCAGCCACAGAAAATCGAATGGTTTGCTCTCACAGATCTCCCAACGTGGACGAAGAAGAAGGTGAAGGAGCAGGGCAAGTTTTATCTCGTCACACCGTTCGTGTCGTCCCTGCGCGCGTTCGTGAATGCTAAGAAGTCGGCAATGAAGGCCAATGGGGTACAACCGGAACCAGTGCCACAGGGTGAGAGTGACAGGTCATCATCATTGGGACCTGTCACTCCACCAGGAGCAACCGTAGCCGCAATACCACAGGCTGTCCAACAACCTGCAACAGGTCCTTCACATATCAGTCCCAAGCCGAATGGCGTTTCAGAATCTGATGCGGATCGGATGTCCCGACTTCTATCGGCCCTATCAACTGGTTCTGGTTCAACCGTCACAAATGCTGCTCCGCCCCCACCGCCGTCCGTGCCCATGCCGGGCTTATCCCCCTCATCCGGTAACGGCGACCGGACGGACAAGCATATTGCTCTCTTGGATAGTCTTCTCGACACTGCGCCTAACATGCCTGGTATCACCCAACGGAAGATATCAGAAGGCCGACCTCTGCCGCCCATACCCTCTGGTTCTCGTGTTTTCCCGAGTAACGGGCCAGCTGGCCACCCATTCCCCGTCATGGCGCCTTCACCTCCCAAGCAGGTACCTGTTCCTGCGATGATGGCATCACAGCCACCCTCTGCACCGCAGATGATGCCTGCCCCGCCGCCTATGCCACTATACCCAGTGGACGGGCCTTCTGCGTATTCTCATCCAGGCCCGGCATCTCAGCAACCCCAACCATCTCAGCCGCCCTCATTCTTGCACAACCCTCAGGCAACATACGGCTACTACCCACCAACAGCATTCGTGTCTGCTAAAGCCGCTCCCTCTCCTCAAGAGGCACACAAGGGGGCCTTGCTCTCCCTACTTTCTGCCAAGCAGCCTTCCCTGCCACCTTCGTACCAGAACCGGATCGTCAGCGAGCCGGTATATCAGAGTGGCGCCGAATTCATGTCTGCCTCTGAAGACCCTCGTGCTAAGCTTGGCATCGCAAATGGTATGGGGATGGGACCTCCCATACCCCTTCGTATGCCCTACCCTAGTATGGACATTCCCCATAGTGGGACCCCGCCGATGCACGGCCCACTGGCCATGCCCGACCCCGCGTTCAACCTTAATGGCGCCCCTTATCCCATGAACAACCCCATGGGTCCACCAGTTATGAACATGTATAACAACGGCGCACCTTTCCCTCCTGCACCCGGCTACCCTCCCAACCCAGTGATGCCCACTGGTCCGCCTCCCCCACATCAGGAGATGCCCCTCCCTCAAGGAACGTTCAACCCTCAGCCGCAAATGCCAGGAGACTACCCATATGCCGGCCCTTCGTCCGATGCTCCCCTAGACGCCTTCTTCCCTAAGGGCATGCCCCTCCCCCGTCCGAGAGAAGTACAGAACCTCAACCAGAACCGGCAGAACCGGGTCAGCGGAGAACAGATCCTCTATCGTCCGCAGGGACAGCCTGTTTTCCCCCAGCTGATAAGTACCAGGGCCCCAATGCCCTCGGTCTCAGCACCCATGCCTGCTCTAGACATGCCCAAGCCTCGGCAGCCTGAGAACCTGCTTGCGATCCTCAACTCTGGGCCGAGGCCGCACTTCTAGTCCTGGTCAACTTCATCATCTCTTTGGGTCTACTTGTACTGGTATACGGCATACCGCGTTGATTTATGCACACCCCCGCTTTCGTTTTCTGGCTATTTTGGCCTTGTTGGTAAATCAAAGACTTGCCCTCCTCTGCACGCATTGTATTCTGCGCTCGCACCGATCTCCATTCCGTGTTATTGATAGGAACATCGAACGTGGTTGTGGTTGTACGACGTTGAGGCTAGTGCCAGGCTGGGTGAGGGAAGAGTACAGAGTACAGAGTACGGATCATGTGAATGAATGAATTTTGTCCCAACATGAGAATGCGGTCGTTCCCGGAAGATTGGGGAATCTTGTTCCCTAACCATACAGGGCATTCGTTGCATATGTGTGGAATAGGGTTGCACGCCCCCTTGCTCCTTTATCTCCCGACGATGAGTCGCTCTCAAGGCACATCTCTTCCTCTTCAACTTCCTCTCTCCCTCCCTTCTCATCGCACTTTCATCATTAAACTGATCTAATTCGTAACAAGGAGAGATTCGGCAGTTCGCCGCAGTCGGCAATTCCCTCAGGGTCCCTCCCACACGTGCGTCATCCCCCTCTTCTCTCAGTTTTTTTGCAGGTGTGAGGGAAAAAGGATCCGATACGCGGGCCGGGTCTTATGTTGTTATGTGTGAGGGGGAAGGCTGACCAGTACTTGTGAACAGAGCAGCATCCGCTTCTCAATTGTAAAGGGGGAAACACAGTATATCCGAGCCATTTCATCCCTTACCCTCGACCTGCTCTCGTGCGACCTTCAGTGCCGAGCCAGGACTGCATTGCCCTGAGAACGACCAGCTTGTCCCGGACAGTCAACGATGGTGATTATGCCCGCTTTATAGGTTCTAGTCGGACAGCACCTCTCACTCTTGTTCTCTATATCTCTTGGCTTGGTTCACTTTTGCTTGCTGTGCTTGACTTTCGCTTTCTGTCGACTCTCGGAACTTTTCTTCGCACCCCTTACGACTCGCTCGTTCTCCATAGGCGCTCAACATGCATAGTGGACGGGGGATCAAGCTCATCGCGGGTGAGTGGGGCGAAACGTTGACGATACTTGTACTGAGAAGGATGGCAGGGACGAGTCACCCCGAGATGGCAGAGCTCATCGCACAACGGTACGCCCCTCTTCCTGCTCCCCAACCAAATCCCTGACCCCTCCCAGACTGGGGATCTCCCTCTCCCCAGTAAAAGTCTCCAACAACGGGATCGGCGAGACCCAAGTCCAGCTACAAGAGTCCGTGCGAGAAGAAGACGTGTACATCCTCGGCACCTCCGCTTCGGGCCAAGTCAACATCGCCCTCATGGAACTGTGCATCATGATCCACGCGTGCAAGATCGCCAGCGCGGGAAGGATCACGGCTGTTATCCCGCATTTTCCGTATGCGAGACAGGACAGGAAGGAGAAGAGCAGAGCGCCGATCAGCGCTAAGCTTGTGGCGAACATGTTGCAGACGAGCGGGTGTGATCATGTTATTGTGCGTATCCTATTCTGAGCCCGGATACTTTGCTGATTGGGACATAGACGATGGACTTGCATGCATCGCAGATTCAGGGGTTCTTTGACGTGCCGGTGGATAAGTGAGCCTTTGTTCGACAGCACTCGAACACGTGCTGACAGCCCTCAGCTTGTATGGCGAGCCATCGATGATTCGCTTCATCCGAGATGCACTCGGACCGGACGAGAGTCCACAAAAAGACGTCGTGATCGTTTCCCCCGACGCCGGGGGTACAAAACGGTGCGTCCCCGCCTCAGGTCCGATCCTCCCCTCTAACCAACATCATACAGCGCCGCCTCCATCGCCGACAAGCTCAATTCCGATCTGGCGATATTCCACAAAGAGCGGAAGAAGGAAAATCAGGTTTCGCGCATGATCCTCGTCGGATCTGTAAGGGATAAGATCGCCATCCTCGTTGACGATATGGCCGATACGTGCGGGACGCTCGAGCTCGCCGCGCACCATCTCATCGAGGCTGGCGCACGCAGGGTGTGGGCAGTGGTGACACATGGTGTCCTCTCCGGCCGAGCGGAACCGACGGTGCGGGTGAGTGCCCTCGAGAAGCTCGTTATTACGAACACGCTCCCGGTGAGGGACAAGCTGGTTGCGCAGGAGAAACACGGTGCGTGGGGAGGGAAACTCGAGGTGATAGACATCACGGGCGTGCTGGCGGAGACGGTCCGCAGGAGCCATTATGGTGAGAGTGTGAGCATGCTGTTTGACGAAGTGCCTTGGAGCAACCAGTGACCGGATGTGGAACTGTCCGAAGAAAAAAAATGTACAATCATCTATTCCCGGGAGGTTACCTTGTGATATGTGATAGATACGGAGTATTGTGGATAACTAATAGACGCGTTGTGCCTGGTATGAGATAGAGTGAATACGGGAGATTCGAATTACCTGTCAGGCTCTGCAGCACCTTGATCCCTGATTCCCTTTAAAGGCAAGAGCAAATAAATAACTCCGTCCTATCGAGTAGAACGTGAAAACAGGGCAGGGTCCTCAACTTTTTTTGGTCTGAGCTGAGAGTAGGGCTATTGTCGTCCGTGCACTCTTGTGGCTTCGAACACTCACGGTATTGATACCTCAATACCCAACAACATGAAGCAACAAGGCGACTTTGTTATGACGATCGAGTCGGACGAGGAGGTCGAAGTATCCGATGCGGAAGACTCGGATCTCCCCGTGCCAGTCAAGGGCAAGAAACAGCGGGCTCGCAAACCGAAGCCAGACGCGGAAGCGGAAGAGGGCGACGGCGACGAGATCAACGCTGATTTCGCGTTTGATACTACTGGAGGAGGGTTTGTCGGCTTGGCGGATCCGTGGGATTTCCCGGAGTTGGAGGTTAGGGATGTCGTTCAGGGCAGTAAGCCGGTATGTGGGTGTGTTGCGTTTGGAGATGGTGCTGAGGGGAGGTTTAGGAACCGATTTCTGTTAATGATATTATTGAGCGACGGCGATTGAGGGATGCGGGAGGGAAGAAGCGAAAGAGGGAGGAGGAGGATGAAGAGGAAGAGGAGGGGGATGACGATGAAGAGGAAAATAACTTGGACGACCACGAGGATGAAGAGGATGATGATGAAGATGAAGAGGGTTTTGGACAAGCTGCGGTTGATGATGGTGATGATGAAAGCGAAGAAGATCCGCTGGCTTCATCAGACAAAGAAGAGGACAATGAGGAGGAGGAAGAAGATGGAGAGGAGGATGAAGACGACGCTGCCTCTGTCGCATCATCCTCCGGTTCTTCTGCCCCCGAAACTGCCGCTGAAGCTTCCCGCAAAGCAGCTTACTTCGACACTCCCGACGCTGCGACTTCCACGTCTGATGTGACGTTCCAGAGCATGAACCTCTCTCGTCCACTGCTCAAGGCGCTCGCTAACCTCGGATTCGAAAAACCAACACCTATCCAGGCTGCTGCGATCCCTGTCGCCTTGCTCGGGAAGGACGTAGTCGGTGGTGCTGTCACCGGAAGCGGCAAGACTGCAGCATTCGTGATCCCCATCCTCGAACGACTGCTCTTCCGTGACAGAGGCAAGGCAGCAGCAACAACGAGGGTCGTCATCCTCTGCCCCACCCGAGAATTGGCTGTACAGTGTCACGCCGTTGCGACGCGTATTGGGAGTTTCACCGACGTGCGCTTCAGCCTTGTTGTTGGTGGCCTCTCCCTCAAGGGTCAGGAGGCGGAGCTCCGTACTCGACCCGACGTGGTCATTGCCACTCCTGGACGGCTGATCGATCATCTACGCAACTCACCCAGCTTTTCGTTGGACATGCTCGACGTGCTGATCATGGACGAAGCAGACCGGATGTTGGAGGAGGGTTTCGCCGCAGAGTTGGGGGAGATCATCTCTGCTTGCCCAAAACAACGGCAGACGATGCTCTTCTCTGCAACCATGACAGATTCTGTGGACGAGCTCATCCGTATGGGACTGAACAAACCTGTGCGATTGTTTGTCGATCCTCGGAAGAGCACTGCCAGCGGCTTGACGCAAGAGTTTGTCCGAGTAAGGGATAATAGAGAAGACGACCGTCCCGCCCTCCTCATGACTCTCTGCAAGCGGACGTTCCGTACTCGGTGTATCATCTTCTTCCGCAGCAAAGCCTTCGCGCATCAGATGCGGATCGTCTTCGGTCTCCTGGGCATGAAAGCTGGCGAGTTGCACGGCAACCTTACTCAGGAACAACGACTTCGCGCGCTGCAGCAGTTCAAGGACGGCGATGTCGACTTCCTCCTGGCCACCGATCTTGCTTCGCGTGGTTTGGACATCAGGGGTATTGAGACGGTTATCAATTATGACATGCCTGGCCAGATAGCGCAGTACTTGCATCGGGTGGGTCGAACGGCACGTGCGGGGAGCAAGGGTCGCTCGGTCACTCTCGTGGGAGAGGCGGACCGGAAGATGCTCAAGGCGGTTATCAAGCACAGTCCTGCGGACCAGGTCAAACATCGGCTAGTGCCTGCAGAGGCGGTGGCCAAGATGGCGGCCAAGCTCAAGGGGTTGCACGACGAAGTGGATGCGGTACTGAAAGAGGAGAAGGAGGAGAAGGCGTTGAGGCAGGCGGAGATGCAGCTTAAGAAAGGAGAGAATCTGATCGAGCATGAGGAAGCGATCTTTTCCCGTCCAGCGAGAACATGGTTCCAAACAGAGAAGGAGAAGAAGAACACGCAAGGTGAGACCTATGCGGTATTTGTCGATTTTGATCTGAATTTGCCTTCAGAACTTAGTAAGGAGAAGTATGTGGGGGGATTCGCGTCGAATGTTAAGGATAACAAAGATGAGAACAAGTCTGTGAGTTGCCCACTTTCTTCATGCAGCTCGCAAATCACTTATACATGCGCTTAGGCGGGTCCAAAACGTGACAAACTCTCTGGCCTCTCTCGCAAAGCCAAACGAAGAAAGCTGGCTATGGAGGAGGACGTGTCGTCCAAGCGCTCCGACGCGGCTGCTATCCGGTCTGCGAAGAAGTCCTCCAGACCGACAAAGATTGGCTTGCCAGAACCGCGCAAACCGCAAAAACCTGGCAAGAAGGACAAGAGCAAGAAGGCGACCAAGTCGGCGTTTGATCGTGATATGACACAGAAGAGTAAGCGAGAGGGTATGCGGACTAGTTCCAAGGATAAGGTTGGACTTGCTGGGAAAGTAGGTAAGAAAGTTGGCGGGAAGGGTGGGAAGGGCGGAAAGGGTGGGAAGAGTAGACGATAGTTTTGCGTTCTCTAACCGGCGTTTGTTCATCATATTATTCGGCATTTCCCAACACAACTACTCATTTCCAATGTACATGTTTGTCCTGTGTTCCCTTCGTCAAGCCACATCTGGTGAATAGAGAGGAGTCATCAGGGTTGTGTTGATGTCCAGGGTCTTCTTGTTGCGTCATGTTCACAATCTCTGTTCGCTATTGGACGACCAACGCGGAATGACTTCCGGGGTGGAGGGAATATGCCAGCCACAGATGTCGCCCTGCCCTTCTGTGTTCTCTTTCGCTGAACAACTCCAATGGCTCCCATCACTCCAGGCTCGCTAGTCGTCGTCACCGGCATCACAGGCTACATTGGCTCCCACGTCGGGTTGGCCGCTCTCCAGGCAGGCTACCGAGTACGGGGCACCGTACGCGACACTAAGAAGGCCGAGGAGCTGGGAGCGAAATACAACGAGCTGGGAGTGGATGCGGGAGAGGACAAGTTCGAGGTTGTCATTGTGGATGACCTCACGGATCAGGCGCAGTTCGAGAAGGCGTTTGTGGGTGCGGAGGGTATTGTGCATGTCGCTCTGCCTGGCCACACAGGTGGGCAGCTTCCTTTGAGCCAGTAACCGTACTTGTGATACTCATATTGCAATTTATTAGCAACATGGATCGACCAGGCGACCACCTCTATCCTCTCCGTGTTCCGGGCGGCCGCGAAAGAATCCTCTGTGAAGCGCGTCGTGCTTACTTCTTCGTCCGTGACCTGTATCACCCCCGGCCAGAACGGTGACCATACGCTCAACGATGAAGACTGGAACGACGATGCGGTTGATGCATTCAAGAGGATGTCAGAAGAGGAGAGGGGTAATCCGAAGAATAGGACAGCTATGTATTGCGCAGCCAAGACGATCGCTGAGCAGGAGGCGTGGAAATGGATGGCAGATAACAAGGTGCGCGATACCGGTAGACGTGGTTCAAGCGGAGCTCACAAATTAGGGATGGCAACGGTCCAGTCCGGTCCATCCAGTCCTGGACGGTCCCGGATTTTTGGCGATAGTCGGTCCCGGTCCAGTCCCGTGATGGTCCGGTCCTGGACGCCAGTCCCAGTCCCACCTGTGTCTCGCAGAAAAAGACCCTTGCTAGAGACAGGGACGACGTGCGTCTAGACCTCAAACTAGTGGAAAATGCCCGTCCAGCAAAGGTCCTGTCAGTAACACGGGGCTGTGCTTCCGGAAGCACAGGGCACGGCTTCTCCGGCAGGGGAAAGTACCGAACCCGGAAAAGGAGACCCAACAAGCATGCAGAAGGGGATCATGATGTGTTCTATATTGAAATAATTATCTAGAATACATTATGTACATTATCATTTGCTCCAGACCAGCAGTATGAGGTGATTGGGAGTACATCACTCCCATTCAGGAGTGATGTCGAGATATCACTGTGAATACAAGTGATGGTCTCCTCCTGAGCTGTCAATGCCTGTGCTCTCTGGAGATGCTTACCACAAGCAGTTTCCCTCTTGACCTCTCGCTTGTGCTGTCTCCGGAGTTGGTCTGCATCATTCAAGGGCCAGAAAAAACATTTCCCCTCCAGAAGAGCAGAATGCAAGACTTTCAGCTCTGCCATTGCAAGAGTTGAAGGGTTCTCAATATGGCCACCCAGCCTACCTTCCAGAGTGATGGCATACATGTCCTCAATGTTCCTCCCAAACTTGGAATACTGCATGATGGCTGTATCATTGTTGGATACGGATCCTGAGAGAAAGGCTTAGTATAATCCAGACAATAAAAAGTTGACAGAGCACATGCAGCCCACTAAGAAGCATCTTCCGGACACCTGATTTTAGTTCAAGCTTATGGTCCAGCATTCTAGAAGTCATGCCTACCAATGCCATCAGGACCAGATGACCAAAAACAACTTATAGATCAGCATCACACCTTGAGAGCCATGAATGGCAAAGATCTCAAATTCTTTTGCCAACTCCTCTCCAGACTTCCCAAGAACCTGACAGAGAAAGGCTTCCCCAACATCATCTCCAAAGAATTGTGCTGCACCATAGTCCAGAGGCATCCCTTTGATGGTAAACCCGAAGATGTGACCTTGGGTCTGGATGTTGAATGCATGTGCCTGCCATCAGAGTCAGCAAAAGAACCTTGGTGGTCAGGAGAGAAAGAAGTAAAGTCACCTCCTGCTGCAAAGCCAATGTAGTCACAGTCTGATCTCCTTCCCGTGACTTTCTGGAGACCCACATTTGGTGCACCTCTGCATCATGATGGGCTTGCAACCATTCCCTTCCAGATTTGGCAGCATTTCTGTCTTGCTGGAGCCCTGCCAGACACAACTCCCACTCCAGCTTCACTGCATGTAAGTCAAACTCCTGACCTGCATGTGGTTAGATATGTTGAGAAAAGTGAATGAAAACAAAACACAAACCTTTCTCTTGCCAGTCAAGCTTTGTCAGGTGCACAGCAACATTTTTGAGGTTTGGGGCATCCTTCCTCTGGAATTGAGACAAGTTCTGTGTCCCAAAAATGAACTCTCTCATTGTCTCCTCTGATATTCCAGATCAAGTGGCACTGCACCAAATACTCTCATGAAGAACATTCACGATCTGGACTGCCTCCTGGTGTGCTTTCTCCTGGCAGGCATGATTGGCAGACCATTTCTCCTTTTTCTTCTGCCATGTCAAGAGAATCCCATCAGTTCTGGACATTGGGAGAGCTGTCAATGTCACAAGAAGAGGAATAGAGGTTTTTCTGTCAGGAGAGTGATGGGCAAAGAAGGACAGGGCCAGTCCAAAAAGAAGTTCAGTCCAGACCCTGTACAAAAAACAATAAATCTGGATCACATGGTGTCATTGCAATGCAATGAGGAGACTACTATGTGTTATACTGGCATTACATTTCTTTTGTTTCATGAGGGTACACATAAACAAGAAAACTTGGGAGAGCATGAAGCAGCAAGAGAATTCCACAGACAGCAAACTTGTTCAGGAGTAGAGATCTTCAAAATCCTTGAGAGGATTCTCATTGTCATCCTCCCTCTTGAACCTAAGGCCATCACCAGTCCTGACAATGCCATGATCTGCCCAGTGGTACACCTTCTCCTCAAACATGGCCTTCAAGATCTTGTCATAATCAAATCTCCAGAAAATGCCCTTCTGGCGAGTCTCGATCTTGAGCATGCAAGAAAGAGTGTTGGCCCAGGAGTAAGGGTGATGAAAGTAATAAGCTGTTGTAACCCCTCTCTGGAGAAGATAATTGTTCTTGTTGTTTCCAGGAAGACCATTCTCAATCTTGAAAGTCTGGATGGCAGAGCAAATCGAGTCTGGAAGCTTGGGCCAATGGCGAGGATCATCTGGAAGAGTTAAATTGGGGGCAAACCAAGGTGGGTGACTGTTAGGGCAACACAGGCTGACCAAGTCTGCTCACCTAAGAGTGCCAAGAGTCTAAGCAGGCAACAAGGAAGTGGAGTAGACCTGATGACTAAGACCTATCTACAGTATAGGTACCTGTGGATGATCCTAAGAGACCAAGTCTGAAGAGACAGTCCCCAGGCAGAGTAGGCCTTATATTTATACCTCTGTGGTGGAACCTGCTAGAACATCTTGCTTACTCAGCCTAGTCAGGTGATCAGGTCATATGACCAAGGATGAGGTCATATGAGGTCATGCACAGCCATGCACAGCAGGTTACCTGACCATCCAATCCTTCCAGCAGGTTCCAGCACATACCAAGGTATACCAGCTACTTCCATGTCATAAAGGCTTAGTCATGTCTCTTGACCAAGCAATGAGCTGGTGCCCTGACAGATCAATAGCCCGGATACACCATGCCCATTGGTTCCGGAAAGTCTGCCCCCTCCAGCATGCTGCCAGAGCAAGTAATCATCAACCAAGTCAGGAACGAGACAGTCCCATACTGCCACAATCTGCGGAAGCAATTTTGCATGTGCCCCATGTCCAGCTGCATGTCTCACAGCAGCTCTGGACAAAGAGTCAGCTCAATTCCAGACGGAATCCTTCAAGTGAGTGCATGTTAATTCTGCCCATGTTGTCAAAGCAGAAAACCCTCCCCAA